AGCTGGCCATTGTCTGTTTGTTATACCCGGTTTCCTTACATCCATTCAGTGTTTCTCCATTTACTGGATTATCATATTGGTCTATTTCGCTGTCTGTCTTCCGTCAAAAAACCCGTGTACTTTAACAGACCAATAATCTGATCTGAGGCAGAGGACTTTAAATGCCATCTCCACTTAATAGACCAAATGGGGAATTAAGCTTCGTAAAATGACTTCAAACATAAAAATGTCAATGAGATTCAAAACTCTGGCCCCGATCTTTGTCTCAGGTTAACATCCAAATCTCAAAAATCAAAAATTTTATGCTGATGTGATTTCTATATTAAGTGCAATATATCCCCTTTACATGATAGTATGAAAAAGCCAATTTTCAAATATTTTTTCCACCTTAAAAATATTTACTCAAAATTTATAGCCTATTTCCTTGGGCTTTTATGAAACACATACAGACAGACATTTGTAAGTCTTAAGAAAACAAGAAAGTCCTTTAATACGTGAAGAGTTTTGTCCCGTTCCAAAGATTTAATGACAGTGCTCTTCAAACTCTAGTGTCAACTATCATAGGTATATTGATCTGACACAAAAGGGATATAATGGCCTCGCATGCGGATATAATAAATATCCTAATTCAAAGGATCGGAAGTACAGCCGGTACATTGTACCACAAAGACACCCCATGAAATTACTGTATACACGACTTTTACTTGGAAACCAGGAATGTGCGTCCAAGTTATGGAAGAACTAGTGTTCTAAAGGAACAGAGCTCTTTGAATCATGAGGTTTTAAAGCATTTTGCTTTTGAAATATTTTCTGTGGTAATTTTCTTGCTTTTTAAAATGTACAGTCATGATACACATTGTGGCAGCCATGATTTTCGGTAAAGTTACAATGAAAATAGTTGTTTAAAAAAGATTTCAAATGTCAATAACATTTTCTATAAACATTTTACATGTTTTACTATAATCTAAAAGTACAAATAAATAAATAAATAAAAACATTTGTTTATCAAATATTTCAATTCCATGAGGTATTGACAAAGCTGAACATTCAATATGAAAGCTCTTAAGTCAATTTTTCCAGGTTGAAGTAGATTTGTTGTTCTTCAATTGTTCAACACAAACAAAGGATTTTAAAAACATTTTCAATTACATGTTAGAAAATATCATCAATAATAAACACCCAAGGGATGCTGGCGTTGTGACGATTTTACGTAACATACTCAAGTGGCAAAGCCTTGAAAATCAATTGCGTACCAAGCATGAACACAAAAGAAAGCATTAAATCAGGATTCTGATCAATTGATAGTCATTAGCTGTTCTATAACAGTCAATTCAATTTACAGGTTCTCAGCAACAAGCTTTAAACAGATAAATGGGGGTCTCCAACTTCAATAGCCCCTTATATAAGAGTTCCTCTACTTGACTGTACATATACAGTGCTTATGTGGTACAGCTAAGTTTTCAAGAGCTCAATGTTTAATAGCAATTTCTCTTCTTCTGAGATTCAGTAGAAAGGCTTTTGATGAGCTTATTTTAATACAATATCTTTTAGACTTATGATTAAAGACAAAAGGCTAAAGGTCAGATGTCCAACCTGACCATCTACAATGTTACTCAATATTTCATCTCCTAAAAATATTTGTTGTCGCAAGAGGATATTCCACGTTCTGGAACTCCTTTTATATGTATGTACAGTCAAACTTGTTTTAAGAGGCCACCTTTGGGAAGTCTGGAATCTGGCCACTTAAGACAGGTGGCCTCTTAATCCAGTTTGCCCTCGAAAAAGACATTCAGTCAATAAATAAACATTAAGCACTACAGTTAAATTAATTAATCATAATTAAACAGGTCAATTTCACAAAAGCTTTTTATGTTTATATATAATAATTCAAGCTCATTTAAAAAGAAAATATTAAAGAATTCGAAATGTTTCAGGTTTTCTGCATGTTTCGATCTGTTCCTACATATTGGTTAAAAATCTTGCATTCATCAGTGCGCTTTTGTTTCATTGAAATATTATAAATAAATTGTTTTAATTATCATTTGAAGAAATACATACAGTGTCTGAAAATTGTCCTTTTTATAAAGAAAAAAATCACAAACATACAGTTTAATGGTAAATAAAATAAAGCATTTCATATGTTAAAAAAATGGTCAGCAGTGTACCCCCCCCCCCCCCTAACTTAACTAACCGGTAATTAGGTAATTAACTTACTTGCTAATGTTTTTAAAGTCTGGTTAATTTTATTGTTTATAAAGCTGTCAGAATTTCTATGTAACAGACATGTAAATCATGTTCTAAATAATAATTAAATGATATTGTTATGCAATTAATACATGTATATTGTATAGCCTGTACAAATCTTTTGTATGAATATTGCATACCTATGAGATGTAATGTCTCCGGTTCAAATAAAATACAAATTAGAATTTTAGACACACAAATAAAATTAACCAGTTGACCAGAGAGGTGTATTTACGCAGTTGAAAATCATTCCACAACACAGGTGTCAAGTGCAGTAGAGCGTAACTAATCCCTATCAATCGTCTCTTGATAGTGAAATTCACGAGATAATCATGGCATATGAAGCACTTTGTTTTCACAAGAGTAAAATTAGGGTTTCTTCATAGAATCCAAATCTAAAAGGTGTGAATTTCTTTAGCTAAAGAAAAGTGTCAATTGTAATTAAATTCTTTAATTTTTCAATCGGCGATCTTGAAAAATAATTACAAATTGATCTAACAGGACAAATATTTTTTTTTCATAAACACATGCAAACAGAGTTCAGCGTATCTAAAATGAATTTTTTTAATTGCATTAATATGTAGGTTAAATTGACTATCGAGGATATAATTACCCAAACCACGAGTGACGAAATGGCCGCCTATAACAGTGTCAATAAGGCTGTTGGGGGAGGATTTGAGTGGCCGCTGGCCACGTTAAAAAGGTGGCCGTTTATTCCAGTTAAAATATATAGGAAAAATCGTTTGGGGGAACTGAAAGTGGACGCTGACCGCGAGTGGCCGTTGATTTCGGGTGGCCGCTAAGACAAGTTCGACTGTATATATAAAGGCCATCCATTCCAATTTTTTTCTATTTTCAGCATCCATGTGCGTCTTGCTTTTGAACCCACGCACATATCAGGAAAAAAATCAGGAGATTCCAGATTAATTAATTTGGTTGAAATCTTGTCAATTTCTACAAATCATTCTGTACAGTACACTATGTCATATTTGGTGTATTTTAAGCAATCAATGTCATGATGTTGCTACAGAATGGATATCATTCCTTCTAGAAAAAAAGTTTATGACAACAAATGTTTTGAATGGAGTCAATTTTATAATATGCAAATCTGTGTTTTACGTTTTGGCTTGTGTGTTTTTTGCCAATGGGTTGGTAGGTTTTCAAAAGATAAGTGGATGCTAAAGCCTAAACAGAGAAAAAATTTGAAATGGCCTAAACACGCTTCCTCTCTTTTCCCCAAAACATCAATACAGTTTTCAAATATATTTAAAAAAGGCACAATTCATTTAGGGACTGTGAAATGCTAGGGAGAATGTTACAAATTTTCTTGATGTTTTACACAAATGAATAAAAATTGGTTTAAAACAAACAATAACGCTCCATCAGATCAATTTAAATATCATTTCAGCAAATCATTGTTTACAGAAATGATTTTTTTTCATTCCGTGCAAAGTACAAATATATGGAATTTCAATGCATTTTTAAGTAATGATTTGTAGTCCATGTCACAATTCAATGTATGTACAATTATTTTCCATTTTACCATAAACCAAAATTTGGTGCAATTTATACCTGTAGTGTAGCGATATACATTCTGTCAATATTTGCTTCTGTTCAGATTATAACTTTTATGCCATGAAATATAAATCCCAACTCTGTAATTATCCTGTTTACAAATATTTGTTCTACAAAACATAGTCACACAAATAATAATTCCTTTGAATTAATTCCCTTTAGTATACTGTAACTGCATTTCTACCTGGTGTGCACAATATTTCGCGGAAATTGATTTTTCAGCAAATTAGCGTAGACTAGCGCTTTCTGAATGTGCTTTACATATACTGTAAACCAACTTTTATTCGCGTGCGAGAAATTTTCGCGAGGCTTGCGAGAGCCTCGTCATCGCGAATATTTCTCGCCGCGAACGGGTCCTTAAAGTCTCTTTTGGTATTAAAAACAGTTAAAATAAGGCTTGGTCGCGAATATTAATCGTCGCGAACTAGTTTACTCCCGGTAAATCGCGAAATAAAGTCGTCGCGAATAAAAGTTGGTTTACAGTATATATACACTGTACTGTAAAAGCACCAATATTCCTTGGGGATTAAATTTTGTTTATTTCGTTGTTAATAATTATCAACGAAATAAAATCCCACACAAAATTTTATATGACTATAATATATTGATTAGGGCTATAATTTCAAAACAACGAAATTAAATGCCAAAGAAATTAATTATTATTTTTGATGACAAATCAATGAAATTTTATCCCCACAAAAATTTGTGCTTCTACAGTATACAAGGCATTCAGCGATGTACTTGATTTAGTGGAAGGTGCTTTCCATGAAAGGTGCTAAATAGATTACACAGCCAAATGTAATACGTTTAAAGTATACACGTATAAGGAACTTATTTTTTGAAGCAAAACAATCTTATGAACAGGGGTTCATTACTATCTGTTGTCTTACTTTTTGACCAGGCCCCTATATTTCTAAATTTCATAGCACAGGGCTGGTCAATATGTGTGAATTAAGACAAACAGGTCAGGGAGAGTACCTATGAGTTATGTATGAATAAAGTTTTTGCTAATAAAATCTTATTTATAATGCATGCAGTGTTTTAGACTGTTAATTGTTACACTTTCCCTTCATAAATTTTTACTGAAGGTAAGTAAATCATACTGAAGCTCTATTTATTTTGAATTTGCAAAAAAAATGATGCTTTGACCATAGCGAACTCATCCAATGATGTAATCTTACCAGACTTCCTAGTTCCAACATTTCTTTGAAGATGGTCTGCCTGCCGAGTTTACTGGCCAGAGTCAGAGGAGTCAAGTTTACAGCATTCTTAATATCGGTTTTGGCGGGAAGCGTGTGATGCCTTACGATGTATTTATACATTTCCTACAATGAAAAATCAAAACATATTTTGTCATCATGCAAATCAGTTCATCAGCGAGAATCAACACCTGTCAAGGACTTTGAACTTGGCCCATTTTTCTATAAAAGGAGATATAAGAACTTTGCCTATTTTTCTGTAACAAAATATGAAATATTTTAAAGTAATTTTCCCTTTCTTCTGCAAAAAGGAGACTTAGGGCCTTTGAGAAGTGAGGGATTTTTTTTTGTGCCTGCATGTGCCTTCTCATCATCGCAAACCATGGCCATAATGTACGTACCATCCTCTCAAATTCTGGCCGTGGTTGAATAATGAGAAGAGAATATTTCGTAGCTCATTAAAATATTGACCAATGCCAGTAAAGCATATCGGATAATGAACTTTGATGTGACCTTTCAATACCCAATCGCAAAGTACGAAATAATGCTGATGTAAATTGTTGATATCAATTGCGATGGAAACGAAACATGTCAATTGACTGAATATGGCGTCACAATAGAAAGGCATAAATATTGACCCCTTATATGATTATTGCCCTTTACTTCTTTATGATCAAGCATGCCACTTGAAAACTATAAGGAGAAAGCTATGTGCGGAATTCGAACCATGGCTTGAGACGATGGTGCCTACTGTTCTCAACATGGGATCTTTTTTTTTTAATTTTCTTCATATTGGGATACTTTTTCTGGAATTTAATTTTAAGAGCAAATATACAAATTTGAATTCACTGTGGGTGATATTATTTTTTGTAATTATTTAATGGAAATGAAATAATTTTTAGATGGGTTTTTATAAATATCACTAAGGTATTTAAAGAAGAACCTTAAGTCTGCACCTTAATTGACCTAAGTATTAAGTGATTAAATTCACAATCTTTTAGTAGGATAATTAAGCTAAAAGGTCACAATACTTTTATAAAATGTCATGCTCTTTCTTATAAATCTCTTCTTAAAGTGCACAGTCTATATTATTTGCAATAACCACTTGAACCAATTACGGGTAAAGCCAGAAATTTAAAGTTGCAATAGGTTAATCCCATGAAAGTAGACACTTCAGAAATTGATCAAAGTACTGAACATGCATGAAGAGCATGATAATAATCCATTAATACAATCTTAAAAGTTTGTGACCATTAAACAATTGGCTTTGAAAAGGGAGAAGAGGAGGAAAAAAGGAAAATATATACTTATTATATTGTGTAAAAATCATTGTTTAATTACTAAATCTCTTCTTTATGCTAGCTCTTAATCATAATGCGGCTTTTAATAAAATAAAACTCCCAATATCCACACTGTCTCCAAAATGATTTTTGTTATACATGCTTGGACTTTCTTAGACAATGGAGTGACCTTTATATCACTGACCCAAGGACAATTAGCACTAAGTACACCAATACCTGGCATACACCTAATGAATGGAGCAAATCAAAGGAAATCTAAGGAAAGTAGTATAAACAACATATTTACACATTTAGTAACACACACAATTGACGTCAATGAAAAAAACAAACAAGTAAATGAAACCATTTCTAAATATATATATTTTTTTAATCCTTGTTTCTAATATCAAATTAACAGGGCAAGCTGGCCGGGACAATCCCATTTTTTAGGGTTATCTTTTTTTTTTAACTGGGGCAAAGATATGAAGGGGATACAGTAAAATACGGTTATAGCGAATACACTTTTAATGGATTGATGCTTATAGCGAAGGGATTTTCATTGCACTTGACTCTTATTATATATTCAAGACTAAAAGGATATAACAAATTACGCTTCTAACAGTCTAATGCAAAAGTTAAAAATTTTTACAGGACCAAATGTCTGGTAAAAATAAATTTTTTACCCGACCAAACAATTTCTTACCAGACCGACTTTTCCCCTTTAAATCCATACATCATGATACTGAGATTGAGAGGGTAGGTGGGATGGGGTTAATTCTCACTGTGAAATTTTAACCTTAATTAAATTCAGAGTGAAATGGACAAGTTTACTATATTTATAGTTTTCCTTTGTAATAGGTATCTATTTATACAATTGCATGCATTTTTTCCTTCATATTTGACTTATACAACAAACACTGTATCAAATATTATCTTAAATTTAATATGCACTTTCAATGCATATTTATTTTTCCTGAAACAACTCATTATGGTAACTCAAGTCCAATGATCATTTGAAAAAAAAAATTCTCAACCGAATCTACGTATGAGCTATCTAAATATTTTCCCAACTAAATCTACGTATGAGCATGCTATCTAAAGATCTCTAACCCTTGACAGAGGAAATTCGAATTAGAATAAAAACGATCATGACAGGGTTGTAATACATAAAAATTAATCAGGTATTACTGCTGAATTGGTCGAATAAAGGATATTTGTGGGGAACTGGACCATGTGTACCTCTTAATTTAGATTTTTTTGGCCTTATTTTTTACCGGACATTTGGTCCTGTATACTGAAATTTTTTACCGACCCGACCTAAATTTTACCGTTAAAAACCGACGGTCCTGTGGCTTTCGCATAGACTGATTCTAACAAAGTAAAATTGTTTGTCCGTAGCACTTCATTATAAGCCAGCTGTTTCACTATTGCGATTTTCCGTTTGTTTCTTACCACTTGATTGCAGATGACCACCATATGAAGAGCGGTGTTTCCGAACGTATCCTGGGCATTGGGGTCTCCACCGTGGCCGATGAGGTAGTCGTAAATTTCCTGGTTACCTGTTGCCGCGGCAAAATGTATGGGATATTCACCGTAGTAGGCGTAGCCTGAAAATAAATCGTAATTCTTAGTATTACATACAGTCTTATTTTTTTTATTGGGGGGGGGGAGGCTATGCGCAGCCTTGGTCAGGTCAGGTCACCTCTTATGGACTAGGTCTCAGGTTGTTATTTCACCATGTTGACCTCAAAAGGGGTATTTAATTGTATATTAAAGTTTACAGTTAATAAATGCCCATTGTAAATTAATGTCTAATTACAAATGGGTTAGTTTGGGTTTAATTGACATATACAGTGGACCTTCAGGATATCCGGACGCCAGATAACCGGATGCTTCAGTATCCGGACGATTTTTCATCGGAACGGATTTTTTAAAATGTTATTTTGTCTTGTTAGACTGGTGATTCAGGTATCCGGACGCTTCACATATCCGGACAAATTGACTGGGAACCAAAGCGTCCGGATAAAGGACTATATGCGGTATATTGCATATGTTTGCCCCCACAAAAGTCAAATTTTGAAAACTTCCTGAAATGTGCTGAATTCAATAAATTGTACGAGAAATATAAGTTAATAGGAAATATTATAGTTCCAGAGCAGTGTATTCACAATTTCTTTTTTTATGGAGGACAAAATGGACAAAATTTTTTAAAATGTGTGTTCAGGAACAATATTGACATATTTTGTCTACACGTTATATCAAAATATTAATCCTGAACACACATGCGCTGGTGATTTAAAATATCGGTATCCGTCATATTTGTGACGTCATTCACATATGACAACTTATGAAATTATTCAGTGCTTTGAAGTCAGATATACTCAAACTTAATTAAATATTACTCCATCAAAGTTTGATTTTGGGGGGCAAATGTTGGTTAATACCGCATATAGTTCTTTAGGGTCCACTGTACAGTGTACATGTATAGCATTCCCCAATTGGGTCATCAGTCAAAACACTGACTACAATGGCTTTAAATAAAACTACCAGGCATTATTATGCATACACAAAAATGCAGCATTTAATAATATACATGTTTACTTTAATATTTTCAAAAATGCCTGGCTGTGAAAAATCTATATCAAACTACAGCCCCATGTATTTTAAAATAAAACAGTGCATATTGATTTGTGTGTATATAGAGAGAACTTGGTGTGGGGAGATCTTTTCAAACAAGTTGAAAATTGACATGGATTTACTTGTGAGCCCAATCGATGGGTATATAATATACAGAGCTGAAGACAAGAACATTTCAACTTTCCTACCAAATCTGCTGATAATAAAAAAATATATATAATTCAGTACTTTTTTTCAAAACAACTTTTTAAAAATGTTTGGAAAATCTGATATAAGTTTTCCAAGAAACTAATTGAGTTTATTTTGTGTATCTTGCTTATATATCCAGAAGCTACAGTCAAAGTGGCAAAAAGATGACAAAACATACTGTCATAAAATTAAGTCTTGGTTAAAACTATATATATATTGTTCAAAGAGGGTAAATCTTTTTCTAAAAACTGAAGCCATCTCAGCATTTCAATTTGGTGCAAGAGAATTATGGATTAAACAGTCCAACACTGCTAAATATTTGGCTTAAACAAGCTGCACTGAAATTAACATTTCAATAATTTTTCCCCATATGTTTTTTTTTTTTAATTCAATATTCCCCCCTCTTTTGTAAATAAATGGATTGTCCTATGATGTTCCTATGGAATGTGATCATTCCTCAGAATGGTAGTTTATTTTCTACAGATATGATTGTATTCAAGCAAACATTATGAACACAGCCTATAGTCAGCCGAATGTAACTTGACGCTGAATCAGAAAAGCATTGCCACTTTGAAGTCCCACTTTCCGACCAAATGGCTGACGCCATCCCAGGTTACGAAAAAAGAACTAAATTGATATTTTAGGAAGCAAAGACCATACAAAAGTTTCACATCACAAGTATCTTTTTCAGCAACTATTGACGGAAATTTAACGGCAAAATTATCAGTGCCATGGGCTGCTAGCTTAGAAATTGTTAGACCAGAGTTAATGGCCAATGACGGAGAATTAAACATCACTCATAAGACAGGTACTATCTCGATTCGGTACTGGGGGGTACTTGTCGCAGCAAGGGAGTAACCCTCTTTTACGACAGCAGAATTTAATTGTTCCAACAAAACAACACTGCTGCTGCTGATTCAAATTGAGGAAAATTTCCTTGTCAGCTAAAATCATAAATTTTTTATTAAACAGTTATCTGCTGAACTTATTATTTTTTAATCCCTACTCACTGATATTCTAAATAAATCAATGATTATTCCTATTTTCCATGAAATGCATTCAGCTATAGCATTCTCATACTTCAGAAAGATCATGTTTTTTTCTCAATCTAGTTAGACAAATAAGGATTCCCTTATATTTAATTAATTTAAATGAATGATCTACAGGGATTAAGATAGATGGAGCTCAATATGATCATTTGTTGCATACAATACAACAAAAAAAATTGTTTGTCAACACAATCATTGTTCTAGGAATTAAATCAAAAGGGTCTTCTTTCAATAAAATAAGGACAACCCCTTGGGTAAGACAAGACCATCCTTTAAGCCTAAAAATAAGGTCGTATTGGACTCTTTTCCAAATATAATTTCTCAAATCAATAGAATATATTAACAATGCATTGTGCCAAGTGAATTCTTATTTAAATCAAGTAACAATAAAGATACATGCATTATTTAAATGTGATAAAATAGCCATATAGTTTCTTGGATAATCTGGGGGGTTGGGGTTGGGGGAGGGGGAGGGGACTCTTGTATTGGCACATGTATATGTAAAATAACCAACTCGAACAAAATTTTTCCATCAGAAAAAACAACACATGGGCCAAGCAACACCAAACTTGGAAGATATATGTTATTATGATTGTAGTAGAATCCATAATAATGGGATTACATTAAGCCAGAATATTTCCTTCCCCTGTGCTGTTCTGGAAACAGGGAGATTAATCTTGGGACTATATAAATTCCTATGCTACAAACCTTCGTAATCAGTACTTTTGGTGTGGAGATTGATCTTGAGACTACATGTATATAAACACCTAGGGTACAAACCTTCGTAGTCGGTAGTTTTGGTGTAGCCCTTTTTCTGGTCCTCTGGTAGGAAGAATCGCCCCGTACAGCGCTGGTCGATCAGAGCACCTTTTTTGATGAGGAGTTTCACTGCCTCCAGACTACCAAACACAATGGCTATATGTAAAGCGCTCTCCCCTAAAATGCCAAGATTAAAAATATTATTTCAGAAATACACGTATTTAAATAATCTTAATTTTTTTTTCATAAATGTGTTTCTGCATGGCTAGAGATGTTTTGAGTGCAAGTGCAATTTCTCCCCAAACCACACACACAGAATACTAGCTATGACAGTTCATTAATTTTAGGGTCAGCTTCTCATATTTTATCTGTAAAAGTTTTGAAAATAAATGCTTGTTTTAGCATCCCCCCCCCCCCCCCCCCGCTATTTGAGAGGGTTTTTAAATTAATTAAGACAAACTTTTTAAAAGGTTCTCAAGAATATGGTCAAATTATTTACCAGTATCACTTCACATGAAAATTTGTATGCAAATCCTTTGCAAATGAAAAGGAATTCCTTACTCAGTGATATTTTTAACATTTAATTTAAAAGTGAATACAGCCGTAACAGGTGTAAGCAAATCCTAATAAGTTGCAATTTTTACAGCAACAGGGAACTATAAAGATTAAATTACCAGCAATTATTTATCAATCACTAAGTTATATTTACAGTATTTCTTTTCTAAATTGCAAAGGCGTGGCAGTCCAGCGACGATCCCACGCCTTTTCATCAAATAAATTAGAAAGTGTCATGAATTTTGTGTCATGGTCATTTGCATAGTCACTCCCTCGACATTTGCACGCGACATTACGTCACAGGCCTTGGTCCATCGTAGACGGTTCAAACAAATCAGAAAGTTCGAAGGAGATGGCTGCATTGGAAAGTAAAGCGATGTTAATAGAGTGTGCAATTGTATTTGATGGATTTATTTAAGCAGTATGAATATTTCAAAAAATCATAAGGTACTGGAAACCTGGATCCGTCCGCAAAATGATCCGCTTCATTACTGTTACTACGGATATGGTTGCATGTCTGGAGGAAATCCGAATGGAGTACGGTAGCCACAGGTGTCAAAATTATGGAATGCATTGTGAAAAAAGGCCAAATGCATTACTTGTATATTATACGAACATGTATCAGTGTGCATGTAACTCAAGGAACCCAGGAAACAGGTACTTTTAAGAAAATCATCTAAGTGCGCGTGTTTTCAATATTGTCAGATTTAAATTATCTTGTTTTCATTTGAATATACATGTTTTTCTTGAAATTCTGTGTATTGTTTTTATTTTTTGTTTGAAACAGTTAACTAATGAGTTTACATGTAATAGTATTTCTCTTGAAAATGGTTTTCACGTAATTCAGGGATGGGGCCGATTACATTAGAAAGTAATTAGTCAAATTACAATTACTTTGACTTTCTCTTCAATTAAATTACAGGCTTTGTAAATCATGTAATTAATTGCTTTATAATTACTTTACAAAAACTGTAATTAATTAATTACATTGAAGTACAATTACTTTTTTGTTCAATTACCCCATCCCTGTCACGTATGCATTTATAGAGTGAAGTGGGGGGGGGGGGGGGGTGATTCTGTCTAGATATTGTGTATACATGTAACATATGTATAAGCTTACAGAAATTGAAAAAAAAATATTTAAAAACCATCGAATTCTGTCCTTTTAAATTGGAAGTTATTGTAATAAGCTCCGCCCCCTAAAAGTTATAGTACGTTGGAATTCAGCCAAAGGTTTTCTATCTGATTTAAAGTATGGCCAACATCAAAAGAAAAAGTACCGCACCATGACACAAGAAATTTTATTTCATTTCTAAATTGCAAACACCAAATCCCATTTTCATAAAATAAATTAGAAGTCATGAATTTTTCATGTCTTTTACTCTCATTTTTTAAATGAAGTTCCAAACACTTTGACACAGTGTGTCCTTATAATTATGCAAAATTAAATACGAGTACTTTATAATCGTACGACTCAATTGCAATTGAAATAAACTTCAACAATTTCTCCTATTCCATGGTTTCGTTTAGTGTTAATAATCACGATGTTTAATGCCAGCACCTAAAATTGATTTTTTGATTTCATACTCTTGATTTCCAGGGGCTTGACAATAAAAAGAAAACTGATCCTGGCCCTCCACGGCAGAATTCATTGTCACCAACAACACAGCGTCTAAACATGCTGATCACTCAATTAAATACCTTTTTTATACAAATCCGAGCTAGCTTGCCTGCACTAAATGGTTATGATGGGTAATTTAAATCCTTTTTTAACGGTAATTTAAACCTATCAAATTGATGGCCATATAAATGATTCGTTTTCATACACTAATTTGGAATATGACCTTGAACTCACTGTGGCCATGACCCTAATGTCTTTAACATGTTTTAAGCAATATAAACTGAAAAATTTTAAACTGCAGATGTAGCCCTCTGTTTAACAGTGTGCTATGTGTTGATTTTATGTCTTTGTTAATTTCTATAAAAAAAAATTCTATCACTGATACAATTATAGACAAATGCCAAAGTTATCAACATTGGTCCAAATTTTATTATTAATTTTCAAGTCAATTAAGCAAAGTCAACATAAAGCTTTAAATCAATATTCAATTTTTTGCTTTCATACTGGGCCACTGCAGATTTTTTTCACCTATAATTTCAGAAGCGTAGAATAGGAATTTCATCTGTAAACACGATTCTACCCAAATGGAGGCAATAATACCTTATCAAGCCACAACCTCACAGTGGGCTTAAACCTTTACATTGATTTTGTTTCATATCTTCTTTTTTTCAATTTTTTTTTATTATTTCTCTTGTTGCCTTGCTTGACAATATTTGTTTTATGAACAAAACATTCCCACAACAGATTTGAGTTTTTATATATTGTTCACCAGGGAAAAATATGAAACCACCAAACAAACATATATTTGTCAGGTGCAGCTAAGTTCATTCATATGAAGTTAAAACTAATCACATGAATCATTAATAAATTGAAACTCCATTTGTAGTATTAGTTGATTCCACTACTGCGTTGCAGAGGGAAAAAAACATGCTGACAAAGAATTTTTATTTTGGTACTTGTGTATTAAAAAAATATCTTTCTTTTTTTTTTTTTTTAAATATATATTTTATATACGGACATACTAGTACATCGTACAATAATTATATACATGATGTAGAGTTTGGATATCTTGATCAGCAATATATTTCAAATATACCAAGAATATGTCAAAGAGATGTGGAAGTCCCAACCATTTATAAGTTTCAAAAGTAATTATGTTACAACTTGATAATATTGATATCTCAAATCTTTGGACTTTTTGAAATTTTTGTCTCTGTCCCCTAGATTCACTGAAGATCAGAAAACAAGGTTTGGCTGTATGTCAAATTATCTTGTATACTAATCAAAGTGTTCTTTAAGATCCACCCCTGGCAAATTTTTTTCACAATTCTTTGAACAATTTTACAGTGAAAACAAACTTTGATAACAAATTTACATAATTATATATAAATAATTATATAAATATTTTCCCAATAGACTATATATTTGTGTTATCATAAAAAAATCCTTTTTTAGCATAAAATCATCTATCATTAATTTACTAATTCATTTCTTAACAAACAATTCTTTTTCTAAAATTAGCTTTCTAAATTCTTCCTTAGCATTGTTTAGCAGCAATGAAACTTTTAAGCTCATGCAGCTATCATCATGCAGCGACTCTAAACCATTTGCCAGCATTCGGCAATTACATTCTGAATTATTCACCTTTGTCAATTAAATAATAGAAAATAGAAGCTATTAAATGTTCCTATTTATAAATCTACAGTAATTTAATGAAAATGTGATCCTTAACGAAAGCTAAATAAAAAGTGCCTAGTCATTGTTGCCTGTACATTAAATACGCTAGACTTTCTTTACGTTTCCCAAGAAAAGTTCAGAGTTTGCAAATCAGCAATTATTCAAATCATTTTGCCATAAACTAAGAAAATATAACGTCTTTTTTCTTTTCTCATGCAAAACGGTCGACAATACGAATAAGTCAGTGAAGGCTGCTATCTGCCATTAAGGAGTTTTCAGACGGGTAATTTTTATAGTTTCCAAGGAAATAATCACACATTGGTTTCGACAACCAATACTAGAATGCAGTGACCAAACTGTTCTCGGGGTGACTTAGCAAATCAAAAGTTCAGAACTGTTCTACTGCTATATCATATCCTCAATTTTGTTGGGGTAACACAATCAATACTAAATTATTCTACATGCTGACATTGGATGGGGATATAGCCTGAGTGATATCATAATCAAACATAAAACAGAGCACCGACACTATATCTACCTAATGAAAAATGAAACACTGTTAATTTGTTTCCAAAATAGATTATTAATGAACCTTTGAAATAAAAGTGGAGACAATCATTTTTTTTTTTTCAGATCGAATTTTTTCCCTTCCTCTACTACAAGCAGTTTTATTCGGATCACTAGTTTCATTGAACTACTTGATGTATAATTAATCAAAGACGCTAAACATGTTACACACACTATATATACGCTGACGTACGTACCAAAATATTCCTCTCCCTCATACACATCTAGGCTAAGCTTGGGATACAAATTTAGAAGTATTTCACCAACGGCATGATGAGTTGGAGAGTCTAAGAGATATAACAAATGGAACGGGCTTTCCCCCACCCCGCCCCTTTTATTGAGGTCCCAGCATGCTTCATGGGTGACTACTTTGTTGAAGTAATCCTCCTTGAATTCACTCAATAGTTGTTCATCAGTACGAGTCTCCCACACCGTTGAACCCTACAAAATAAAATTATTTTTTGAATGTATAAAATAATACCTTAAATTCCTAAATATACGCATGGAATTAATTATCGCGTAATTTCCCGAGAAGCACCACATGCGAAATAAAATTACTCGCTTTTATTTTTATGGTGCTGAAATCTATGTAAAATCTCTTAATCAAATGTCCATTCGAGAATTATTTATTTTCGCGATTTGACGTTGAAGAGCCAATTCGCGATAATAACTACTCGCGAAAAATAAGGAATCTACAATAGTGCATGACAATTATAGATGCTACCATTTTTGGTTTAATAAGGAGAAATGTATAAAATTAAGTTTCAAATTTTAAAAATTGAATTTTTAATACTTGAATCAAAAACTATACATTTCTATATACAACATGCACAAAGGTAAGTTTAGTATATAGTAAAACATGGCAACTCTTAAAATATGCTTGAAGTACCAGGGATGGATGATTTTGCATCATTAAATAAATATATAATTCAAAATATCCGTGAAGTTTACAACATATTAAAAACTATGGGGAATGAAAATCACTTCACTGTATGTACATAATGTATCAATTCATTATATTAAGCATGTTTGCTTTAAATGGGTTTTAATGTAATTTGGTTTTGAATATTTTACTAACCATTTCAAATAATACATATAGCCTGACTGACATATTTACCGGTATATAATCAAAACAAGCTACTATTCTACATGTAGGTTCTAAATTTAATCCTGCAGGATTCACAAAATATAACTGCATGGCTGCAAAACATAATTATAGATCTGTAATTCAACATGATGAAGATAATAAAGCCAGGTCTTCCTGACAGGTTAAATAAATTTATATTAAATGCAATTTGATGGCCCAGCATGAAGAGCTCTTTACCCATTCACTGACCAGTTGTACTGGTTTGACATTTAAATTTTATCTGCATGTTTCAATCATCAGTGAATCAGTTACTGTGCCATATAACCTACTGCCAATGGAAATTGTGGAAATGTTCCAAAAACACTTTCTGACCCTTTTCTGAAAATTCTTTCAGTATGTGACCTTTTCAACCTCTCTTAAATAAGAAACATAGGAGCTAGGTGGCAAATAAAACAATAATACATTCTACAAATATATACTCATAATGAAACTTAAGAATTATATCAAAACAGATTGTTAGCCACTTTATTTAAAGCCACCGGTCTACACATTAACAGGGAACAACAGATATATATAACAACAATTTTTTTCTCCCCCTTCTAAAACTATCTAAACATGGATATAATCTCTGTTAAACCTATTATTTTCAAACAAATTTCATCTGAATGATTTGAGGGTAAACAGTTTTATCTTGAAGGAGTTGGAGTGTCAATATAGTTTGCTTTGGAGTATAGAGGACCCAGTTTTGGATGGTTACAAAGGAACGGGGTGGACAAGTGCACTGGGGTATACAATGCAGGCTAAATATACCCTCAATCCATACCCTTAATTAGTTATTATTAAGGTCAATGTTTATCAACATTTGAGGACCATCCAAATTATCAGAGAGACCAGTGTTCTTCAGTTTAACATGTTTAATATTTCATGTTTCATACAGATGTAAAATCCCCATAACTCTCAACCTAATGTTAACAGAAAAGTATGTACTTTGGTTTTTATATTTTATCGGATTTTTTTTTTCACTATTTTCTAACAAGCCATAACATCATTCCCATTTGGAAGACAACTCATTAAACTTTAAATTCTATTACCTTCTCTTTTTTAGCATAGCAAATAAAATTAAACTCATCAATATATTTTTATATGTTAAAAACTAAATTATACAGGAGTAAAATCCAAGTAAATTAAGTTCTGTGAATTCCATGGTATACTTGTAAATCACTAAATGTCACGTAAACTAAACTGAAATGAATAGACTTGCAGCACACTAATTACAATTAACATTAAAATACATACAATTTTTAACAATTTTATATTTATAAATTCATGAAATGATAAAAATTATTAAGTATTTTTTCTGTCAGGAACTTCATATTTATGGAACACTAGTATATAGGGCTTAAGGTTTAAAAAAATAATTTTTTAGACGTGTTGACCTCTGACGAAACCTTAATAACCATCATAACCCTTGGATCGAGGTCATGAAAAAGGAACCTTTTCAAATTGAAATCCACTTTTTGTACCCCCCCCCCCCAATAAAAGTGGGAGATATTAATTTTGGTTTGTCTGTTCATCAGTCTAGCTGTCCATCACTCTGCCTGCCTGTCTGTCTGTAGTTCTGTTTATCTGTAAGGCTTTCATTTCCACATGATATCTCGAGAAGTCTTTGAGTTTTTGCAATGAATTTTTACATAATAACATCCTAATGACCTAAGGATGATCCCAATTGATTTTGAGGTTAAAAGGTCACAGGTCAAGGTCATAAATTCAAAATTTCGTTTGCTATCTCAAGAAGCATTTGAGCTTTTGCAATGACATTTTACACCACAACTCCCTACTGGTCAAATTAAGGAAGACCCCTATTGATTTTGAGGTCAAAAAGGTCAAAGATAAAGGTCGTAAATTCAAACATTCTGTGCATGTGTGTAAAACTTTCATTTCCGGGTGATATCTCAAGAAGCTTTCGAGTTTTTCTCATTTTTAATTGTATACCATAACTCCCTATGCCCCCAACCTGTCCTTCTTACAGTGCCCCTCCCCCTCAACCCCCCTCATGTGTCAGCACATTCTCTTCTTTTTTCCCTTCAGCAGGAGACACAGCTTGATCTGATTCTCTGTATGAGCTTTTTTGTTCTAAAATTTAGATTTTAACAACTCAAGATCAGTGAAGAGTTAGTTAACCTTCAATCTAACTCTTTATTCACCAGGAAAACTTATCAAAACATTACTCTTTGGTAGGTTAGGGTAGGGTAGGGGTTTTTCCAAATTTTGTCATTTTTTAATTTAAAATTCTAAATTAAATGGGTACAGAACCTTGAACCAAAAAGGTTCAATGAAGCCCTTAGTGCAGCTATATGCCATGTGGGGGAAATAAATTAATATATAAAAATTATAAAATGGACCTGCATCAGACACATTATTTGCTCTTTGTTATGAACCCAAAGAACATGCATTTGCATGCAAATGAGGATTAAATATTTCAATTGAGGATGTCGTTTTGATGAGTTAAGTTATTGCCATTTAATAAAGAGCACCATTTTTCAGGCAAATAAGTCAATAACTAACTGACCTATTTACATGTTAATAAATTTTCTTCCGAAGAATACTCAAACAGTAAAATTAAAGGAATTTTTATCAACTAACTGGGGGTAAAATAGCAAAATCAATATAATGAAATCAATGCTATTTCTGAACCTGTCTAATTGTCATGATTAACATAGTGATCAGCCATAGAAAAATATTTCTAACAGACGCACTGAAAAAAAGCAGCTTTTTAAACTCAAGGACAGTTAATTCAAAGCAGTTTGATTTCATTATAGGTCCTCTGGCAAAGAAATTTATCAAAAAGAGAATTAGAATCATTTTTTTCTCATATAATGAACCATTGCGTCACATCTAACTACTATAGAATACCACAGCTCATTTTTTTTCTCTGGATTTTATTGATACTACAACTTCGAATTTCCAGCCTTCAAACAGAAACTGGCTTGCTGGTCTGCTCGGATGACGTGGGTACCTAAGCTAATTATAGATTTCTGCTCCATTAAACAAGGCCCAATTACAGGTATCATATCTGTAATTGTTCTGTATTGGTATACAGCTCATTAAAGCGTGCCCGACAAGAAGAGATTAGGAAACTTAATGAGCGCAAGTACCTTACTGTAAAACTTGTGTGACACAAAAAACAAACACTGAAACATTCACAAAGAATTTTCTTGGCTTGGCATATGATTTATGTAATGATTTTTTTCACATATGTAAATAGAGAATTATCATAATATGGCCTTTTCTTTATCAAATTAATGAATTTATATTTAGTGTTTGTCAAAATTTTAAGGTAATAAATGAAACAGGAAGAACATAAATTTTAAAGTAACTTCATACTAATGTCTTTTCAAATCTCTTTTAAAAAGCTGTACATCTAATTTTTTTTTTTTTTGGGGGGGGGGTTGTATTTCAAAGCTCCAGAACAAATTATGTCATTTATCAAATGTATTGAATTAAAAAATACATAAGAAATTTCTCTAGATTAGAAGATTGAAAATTTCAAGTAATTTTTTTTTAAATATCAAGCTTAAAAAAATAAAGCTTTGATTTTTTGTATAGACCAGTATAGAAAAAGTGAGTGATAAAATATAAAGAATTAACACTTTAATCAAAGAAAAGAGTATTACCGTATACTTTGCTTGCATTCTGCATTGCCATTTTATGTAGTCTAACTTAGTTACAATAGCACCATTTCCCTCATTGTACAAGTACGGTAACATCTCCGTTTTTGCGATCTTCTCCACTGCTGCGGCCCCTCCTGTCTTATAAGCCTCGATCAACTTCCCTCCACCGGTAAAATCGACAAATTTATAGACCGGGTTCGTTGCGATTTCCTTGTTCTGTTGCTTCCATGCAGAATCTGGGTCAGCCTCTTTTCGACCACACTTATTCCCCATGATTCGCTACGTCAGAAACCTCTTATAAACAAAGTAAAAAATAATTTCATTTACGATAAAGGAATATTTCCAATCGCAGACACTAGGAACACACTTCTTGCGAGGCGCGTACAAGTGCTAAATAAATCGTAACTATTTTCTAAACCACACTGTTGATCCATTTTAAATCCAGATTAGAAAACACCTGATTAATTTGTTCTTTTCACATCTTGAATGGAATTAGCTAACTCCTTTCACTGTAGTATTATCAGAATATAACTCCACAAAAAAATAGACCATTATTATACACTCACTTGTACCAAGGGGTTAAATTTGAGTATAAACTTAAACTATGAACTAATTTTTTTCACTTGTTAATCCAGTTTTGTGAAGGTAATCTTCCTTTATTCTTCCAAAGCATGGTATATACCTGTAGGAAAAAACAACATTTATTAAGTAGGGGTCAAACACATGCCGACATGAAGTAACCAAAACTTATCAATGACAAAGACAGCATTTCTATAGACTGGTTTAAATCAATTTCCTAAGCACTTTAAGATTTTGATTTTAATTTGTTTTGATCAAGAAATTAAAAGGAACCAAGAAAGCCACTGTCAAAAGGTTTTTCTGTCATAGATACTAGATATCAAAGGATAGCAAAACAAATCAACTGACAAATGACAAAGTACTTTGGACATCGACATGGTAGAGGGATGGAAAAATATCATCAAACTCTTTTCCTCCTAAAAAAAATAATATTCCTTATCAAGCTTCATAACTTACGAGGGCCGTTCAAAAATTACGCGGACTGTGCTATTATTTACTCTTACAGACGTCATATAGTTATAAAATTTCACAGAAATATGTATTTTAAAGATTCCAATAAATTTTGGGCAAAATTTCTGTATTTTAAAAAAATTCTACTAAAATTATCGGTATGTTGATATCGTTGATGGAGAAGTACGGCGCATGACAAAAAAATTGAAGCAAAAGCATGCGGATTCAAAAATTTAACTCATTGATTTTCAAAAATTTGCGATATTTTTCAACAATTTTCTCAAATGTACCTTTAAATTGTTCTATTATTATGTATTTAGATTTCGGACGTAATATTTGAAGTACTAACAGAAATATAATGATTTTTTCTCTGATGCGATTCCCGTGAAAACGACTGTGAAAATGACGTCTCCTGAATTGACGGCGCATCACACATTTGTTAAAATATGTGTAATGCTCGAGATATCGGCAACATAGATCCAAAATATGCATAATAAAACATGTAGTAAACTAGGCTACTCGTGACATTCGCCCACAAATAGCAAATTGAAATTTTAGACAGTTGGACCTCTGTAAAAAGTCTATACGGGAGGACGGGAAGAAGATTAAAGACGAAAAGTTAACTTGATCCGGACAGTAAAGAACGTGATTGAGAGTCACCAATATCACACAATATCTCATAAGTAGTTTTTGGTTTTAACGCACAAAAAAAGAATATTCTTTACTTGTTTAATAGATTTTAAGCTTGACAAGAAATGCTGTTTTGATGTTGAGTAGATAAGGTAACTCAAACTATACAGGTACTCAAGGGAAAATGTTGAGAAAATGAAAGCTCAATCACATATTTTTTATAATGCTTGTGACGTCGAAGATTTTGCTGCGCCGTGACTTAATGGTATGTCCTGAAAAATCACTTAAAATTAATACCAATTTACAACATTTTGATATGAAATTTTGAAGAACATATATAAGTAAAGATTCTTTTATATTATTTGTGAAATTTTGCCCGATTATGTCGTCAAATATTTCTTCTGTGCAACAAGTCCGCGTAATTTTTGAACGGCCCTCGTACATGAAAATAAAGCATAATATCTGCATCCATTCTAAGGAACATTTCCTTAGGTATCTAGTTACATGCATGTTTATAGGATTTTCTAAAACCATGCATAAAATTTATTAAAAAATAGACATTTTTGTCTTATACGTAGATGTTCAAACTTTTAATTCCCATGCATTTTCTTCTGTAGTCAGTGGAACATGCAGATCAAACACAACTTTTTGAATTAAAATATCTACATTTTTTAAATTTTATATATTACATGTTATTTTTACTAGATGCTGTTAATCATAATTAACATTTATTTATTTAAAAAAAAAAAAATTATGCATAACCTCTAAAAATCACTTACTTCAAAGCTCGAATCTGCAATGTTCAAGTTGCAAGAAACATATTCTATTGAAAAAACCCTTTTCATACATTTTCTGTAAATATTAATGAAAATTTGTTTTTGTATTTTATAAATATAAGTAATGTGTCTTATATAATTTAAAATTTTGGAGAAATTGGGAGCATAATTAAAAATAAATCATTCTGCCTCAGAGAGATCTGTGTTTTAAAAAAAATTATATATCAATAATTAACGATTCGAGGGACAGTCTTGCTTTATTTCGCAAAGGCTTCGTGTACTTGCAGCAGAATATGGATTATTTTAAAAACTCCATCGCCAGTTAAACATGTTAAAAAACTGTGTAAAAAATTTAATTTCGAAATAAATCTAATGATCGAAAAAAGGCATAGGCCTAGAATCTATACGTTTATGATGAGATAATATTATACAATATATCAAGAAAAAGAAATTTGGTGTAGTTACCATGGAAGATATGTAAACATCCTTTGAATAAACAGTCTTGAAAGTTTTAAAAGCTCATAACTTAGTAAAGAAACCTCTTGACACTGAGCTAAATATTACCTACTTTAAAAGTAATCATCCTACCTCAACTTTAATACACTCCATCGAACATTCACACTTCACTCTCCATTACATAAAACTAACTGATGTATCGAATTGTCACGTGACATTTCGCGCAGCGGAAATTCAAAAACACCACATGGATTCCACTTCCTGTTAGTTTTTCTGTTATGGTGCTGGCAATAAAACATTGATTTCAGCAGTTTGTGAGCATTGACTAAGGTAAATTAGATTTATGGGGATATTTTACAATTCGATTACGTTAGAGCTTTCAATATATCGATGTTTCATTTTACCTTTTTTCCGAAAAATGAGTACAGATGTCAATTATTTTTGTAAACATGTGAAAGTCAAAGTGAAAGTAAGACCAAGTTACATCGTTCTTTACAAAAACCAAAACAAAATTGAAGGTGTAATACTAATAAAAATAGTTATTGAATCACATAAGAAACATTTGTTACAAAAATGCATTTGTTTCACTCCACATTATAATAATTGAAGAGAAAGCGATGCAAATCTGAAATATCTCACAGGTACTTGGGTCTTGGTTTATAAATATGCATGTACCTTATTAATATGTAAAAAAAAATAGTACTTTTTTACATATCAATAAGGTACATATATATTTATAAACCAAGACCCAAGTACCTGTGAAATATTCACTATCAACCAAACTACAAAGTCAATATAATATCACTCATCATATATTACATGTAATATTTGACAGCACGACCATTAGAGTGAGTGCAGATACCTTTTCAGTATACAGTATAGGAGCTGTATATAAAATTGTATCTTTTGACTGCAAGTGACATTTGGTACATCTAGACTTGGACGTCATATGTAAGTTGCATTAACACACAGAAGCAAGTTAAGCACTTGTTTTTATTCTCACAAGAATGTAGCATTTACAAGTGATACATTGTGGGTCCAGAGTTACTGAGAAAAACCATTCGGATCAATGTGCAAAATCTGAATTTTCTTGTGGCCCAGTTGTTGCTGCAGCTTTAAGAGCTAGCTCACATTAGCAACCAGTACAAAGAGTGCGGCATGCTGCGCACGCTTTTCATGGGAAAAAAATTCAGTTATTTCATACATTTATCAAAAATTCCATTTGTCTACTTCATATTTGCAAATCTCTTTGATAGACACTTCAACAGAACATGACCGCTTTAAGTCCAGAGGACCCTTGCTCTTTTTCAAGGCCAGATGAATGTAAAGTAACCAATCTTGACCTGATTCTAGAAGTAGATTTTGATTCCAGAAAATTATGTGGGTACGTCGACTTGTCAGTACAGAGGATGAAGGATGGCGTTCAGAACCTGGTGAGTAAAATTGATTGTGTGATGGGGGTGGGGATGGGGGTGGGGTCCCCTGAATCCTGGTCAGATGCTGTACCAACTGATTGTGTGTGATGGAGGGGGGGTACCAACTAAGCTATCTGGCCCTGAGCACTCGAAGCTGTCTGAATGCAGGGTTTTTAGGTAGATTAGAAACAGAGGATACTTTTACAAAAATCTGAGGTTCCTTTAGGCAGTAAATTTACTTCAATGTGTTATCATTTTTCTCTCCATCAAATATTTCCATTGTATGGGGTATTGACAAATTTTGAATCAGGTTACGAAATAATGAAGAAATATGTTTGCTGGCATCAGGAAAATATAATGATTACTTCTCCTAGGAAAGTAATAGATTGCATTTAAGCAAAATGTTTGAACTATATCATAGGTTCTATTATACATCAATTATAATTCAATTTATTTTTCAGATTCTGGATACAAGAGATGTGTCTATCCAAAAGATCACTGACGCTGACAACTGCCAGGAGTTGAAGTATACACTTGGAGAGAACACAGGGAGCTTTGGATCTAAGTTAGAGGTCCAGCTTCCAGTGTCCTCGTCTACCAGGTGGGGTGACCCTAGGGCATTTATATTTAACATAAATTCTAGAGTAGTTTGAGTTAAATACAAGGTATAGTTAAGCATTGAGAAAGAAATTTAACTCTAGAAATAGTGTAGAAAGCTTAAATTAAAATTTCCTTGTTTACCCCTTTGTGTTAAATAATATTTTGAAAAATGAGAAGTTTTTTTATTTATTTATGAAGCCCCATCTGATCATGTTGATTTGTAAACTACAAGTTCAATATAACAGATTAAGCATGTGTTGATATATTTTGAGGTGATTTAATAGTGCTTTTCTTATGTTAACATTAATGTTAGATCTCATTACTGACATATTTTAATAGCAACAAAGTACGAGTGCACTATGAGACCTCCCCACAATGCACTGCTCTACAATGGCTGAGACCAGAACAGACTGCAGGGAAAAGGCAACCTTATTTGTTCAGTCAGTGCCAGGTATAACAATTCTTAGAATCACATTTTAGGAAAAAAAAGTGAAATTATCTTCTATACAGTCTGATCAATGGTTTATCATATAATGTAGCGCTGGAAGAAAATTGTACACTCAAATCAAAGAGTTAAAAAAAATTAAAACCTAAATGATCTATGAGACATTTAAAATATATGACTTTTTAGAGACGATTTCTTTTTTTTGGCTTTAATTTAAAACTTGTGTCTTTGCAGACTAGTTTAAATTTACTTACTGTTACCATGATTTTTTCAAATCTGTAGCTGTTTCAAAATTTGATGTTTTGTTATTTGCTCTGAGGTTCCTTTTGCTATCACTTTTTCATTATAGGCAATTCATGCCAGAAGTATGGTACCATGTCAAGACACACCTGCCATTAAAGTTCCATATACAGCTAAGGTAAAAAAAAAACCAGGTGTCCTAAAAAAAATCAACGCTTCGATAAAAATTCCTTGAATTTCATAATCATTGACATAAATACAACGTTTTTGTTAGCTAGAGGAAATTTTAAGATGAAGTTGTTTTACCAGGTGACAGCCCCAAGGGACATAACTATTCTGATGAGTGCAGTAAGGTTAGAGCCAGAGCCACACCCCTCAGACAGCTGTAAACTGATTCACCAGTTTGAACAGAAAGTTCCCATCCCCACATATCTCATTGCCATTGTAGGAGGAGATCTTGAGTCAAGGTACACAGAGGTTGAAAATATCTTCTGAAGTTGCTTTGTCTACCACCACTTCTCAGTCACAAGGATATGGGTCTCTCAGTTTTTTATTTTGTTCAATTCAATTGAAATTTTAAGGCTAGAAATTCATTACTGTCACAGAGATAGAGAGAGAGAGAGAGAGTCTCAAAGCAGATGCTGTTTTAAAGGGGGACTACTCTTAGTTTCAGAATTTTTTGCAAAAAACCTTTTCGGTTCAAAATTATTATTCAGAAATTGGTACACAATTAAATTACTGTAAGATATTAAGTTCTACATTTATTTATTGATTTTGCTAAATAAAAGTTACAGTTTTCAATAAAATAGAATTTCTATTAAAACTGGTACCGTATATGTTTAGAAAACTTTGCCACAAGCAAAAAAGAAATCGAAGTGTTACATGACCATGTTCAATTTTCCTCCTCCATTATTTTAATTACAACTTACCATGTCATGAGAGACTTCTATTCATTTTAATTTTAGAACAATTGGTCCAAGATCCAAAGTGTGGACAGAGAAAGAAATGGTAGAAGAGGCTGCCAAAGAATTCTCAGAGGTAGAAAGAAATTATCGTCAGATATTTTATCAGAGACCTATTTAGCTTTGCAATTGTAAGCCAGTGCTTGTGAACACTTCTGTGCAAAGATAAGGAATTTTGGCAATGCTTGCAAATGTTCACTCTGCTGAACAGGCCTCAGATGTTCTGTAAACACTGACCACATTCATTTTTTTCGTATGTTTGTTGGACAGACAGAGAAGATGATACAGACCGCTGAAGCATTACTGGGTCCCTACATCTGGGGTCAGTATGACCTTCTTGTACTGCCCCCATCCTTTCCTTACGGAGGAATGGAAAATCCCTGTTTGACTTTCGTTACCCCAACACTTCTGGTAAGTTTATACGTCACTCAAAAGAAAGAGATTTCCTTTTTGTTTAGAATGTATACACATTGATCCTTCAAAAAAAAAGATGATTTATAATACAGTGGACCTTCAGATATCCGGACGCTTCAGTATCCGGACGATTTTTCATTGGAACAGAATTTTTTAACATTAGTTTGTCTTTTTTAACTGGTAATTCAGGTATCCGGATGCTTTACATATGCAGACAAATTGACTAGGAACCAAAGGTCTGGATAAATGAGGCTCCACTGTACTTCAATTGCACAAAAAATGTTTCTTGATCAGTATTCAACTTTGCATGTTTTCAAAGCCCATCTTCTGACACAATCCATGCCTCTTTTACAGGCAGGAGACAAATCACTGGCTGATGTTGTGGCTCACGAGATTTCTCACAGCTGGACTGGAAATCTCGTCACCAACAGAAATTGGGAACACTTCTGGTAATGGAATACTGAACAAAATGAGATAGAATACCAAACCAAAGCACATAAGCAATTATTTAAGTGAAATGAAATTCTTTTGAAGTTTTTTTCGTCTTCTTTATTTGACCTAAATGACAGAAATTGTTCTCCTATAAAAGTCTGGACTGTATCTCTCTGAATAAAGGTCATACTGGATTTGTGGAAAGATGGGGAGACTACTGTATACAGGGAAATTTTCTCCCGTTTTACTTTGGTCCCTTTTGCCCTTGTCACAAGTGGGCGAATTCAAAACGGGGCAAATTCAAAGAATACCCTATAATTTCTTAAACAGAACTGTGACTTGGAGAATTAAAAATGGGGGCAAAATTGTTTGAAAGTGCAAAAGGGGGAAAATAACAGTATTTCTGTCTGAGTTCATGGCCGATGGAGGAGCAAATGAACTCAAAGAAATAATAATAAATATCAAAAACTGCTTTATGAGGAACTTAGTATTTGTACCCAGTATTTGTATTCAATTGCATAGATAGTTTTTTAAATTTTGATTTAAATAAATTATTAAAAAGTTAAACATAAAAAAGTTCAATTTATGGTGATGGAGAGGGATTATTAAAACAAAAGTTAGACCTTAGATTAAAATTGATGAAATTGTTCTTGTGATTTTTCTTTGCTCCACAAATATGACTTGTCCCTTGGTTAATTTTTGAATTTTTAATCATTTCACTGGTTAAGTTCTAAAATCTGACGTTTTCAGGTTAAATGACGGTCACACTTTGTTTATGGAGAGGAAGATCACTACAACCTTTGACCTTTTCAAAGATCTTTTCGAAGATCACTATAACTCTATAACCTTTGACCCTTTCAGGTTAAATGAAGGTCACAATGTGTTTGTGGAGAGGAAGATCACTATAACTCTATAACCTTTGACCTTTTCAGGTTAAATGAAGGTCACACCGTGTTTGCGGAGAGGAAGATCACTATAACTCTATAACCTTTGACCTTTTCAGGTTAAATGAAGGACACTGTTTTTGTGGAGAGGAAGATTACTGTAACTCTATAACCTTTGACCTTTTCAGGTTAAATGAAGGTCACACTGTGTTTGTGGAGAGGAAGATCACAGGACGTTTACACAACAGTGAGGCTCTCCGTCAATTCATGGCCATTGGAGGATCCAAAAGTCTAAAAGAAACAATTGTAAATTTAAAATTCAATTCCGAACACTTCTTAAAGTTTCTTTTTCTTAAACCAAAATATGTTAAGGACACGGGGGGGGGTCAACAAATTAACCGCAAATTAATCACCAGATTTAACTTATTTTTTAAGATACGGTATCTTAAGCTGTCAACTATCATTTGGCAAAAAAAAAAAATCACACATTTTAGTTTTAAAATTTAATCATTTTGGTACCGGTATATCTTTATATGGAGCTCTTCTTTTAAAGGAGATCAAAATATTCTGAAAATGGCTGCCACCCCCCAGCCTCTTTAAAGCACTCATGCTCTAAGCATACACAGAATTTCACTGTCTGTTGGAGAGCAGAGAGGAATTTTAGCGATAGAATTGTCCTCAGTTCCACACATCAGCCGGTGACCTTCATTTATCCTGATGGAAGGTTGATGTGCATTAGATTTGAAGATGACCTTTGACTTTCCAGGTTAAATGAAGGTCACACCATGTTTGTGGAGAGAAAGATCACAGCAAGGTTACATGACAATGAGGCATTTCGTCAGTTCCTGGCAATGGGAGGGGCAAAAGAATTGGAGGAAGAAATTGTACTTAATACATGATATCATAAATCATTGATTAAAAAATAATTTTATGAAAGATTCTTTCAATTAATATTACAGAACAGTAGAAACTTGCTTTATTTAATAGCTAGACTTTTCTTTAAGTGTAATCTTAAATCTAAAATTGTGTTGGTTTTTCATTGAAAATGGACTAGCATTGATTTTGTCTCAGGAAGTAGTGTTGAAGAATGGTCCCTACACACGACTGATCCCAGATCTTAAGGGAGTGGATCCAGACGACGCCTTCTCCATTGTTCCCTACGAGAAAGGCTTTACCCTGCTGTTCTATCTGGAGACCCTGCTGGGGGGACCAGGTAACATCTCTATTACACACATACATACACTATGTCAGGGGCATTTATAGCTCTGCTAGTCAGAGTCCAAATGAGCTTATGCATTTATTTAGTAAGGTGTCCATTGTCCATCTTTCTTTCTGTAAAATCTTTTTTTCAAAAACACTATTCCTACCGATTTGGTCCGATTCCAATAACACTCAGTCAAGTTGACTATATATAGTAAGAGAAATCTTTATTTGTATTAGTACACACACCGTTAGAGCTACAGCCTCATCAGAGACCCGTTTAGTGGAGAAACTGATGTCTTTGACAGCACCTCTCTGACAGGTTAACCGGGTACTCCTTGACATCCCTAATTAATGCTATACATGTTTAGCCAAAGTAGTGAAAATATAAACCCTTTTTATCTCTCCTTGCATTTCAGTTTTCACTTCAAGCAATATTTTAGGTCTTTGACCATAGAAAGCCAAGATATGATACATCCTAATAGGATATAAGTTATGCATGTATATATGGTATACATTTCAGCTGTGTTTGAAAAATTTCTGAAAGCCTATGTCGAGAAGTTTAAACAGCAATCTATAGACTCCAACCAATGGAAGGATTTCCTGTACTCCTATTTCACTGACAAGGTAATAATTTCTGATCTAAGAATCTGTCTTTCATCCTCTTCCTTCAAAGGTTGAGATTATAATATTTTTTGAAATATAGGAAATGAAAAAAATATCTCGGTGGATACATTGTATAAATGATACAATTTTAGAGAGAAGTGTTAGACAGTGTGGAATGGGATAAATGGTTTTATGATCAGGGAATGCCACTGGTCATACCAAAGTAAGTGTCTGTCCACAACATACAGATGTAATTGTTCTACTGCACACAAAAGTAGTGAAAATATAATATATTATATGAAGAGCTATCATAGTATACAATGGTCAAAAAGTTACTTGTCAGACCTAGTTCATTTCTGCTATGTTGCCATCATTTCTATAGATTGTATCTGTTAAAAATTGCCATTTGATTTACAATAGGTATGATGACAGTCTAGAGGTCCCCTGTAAACAGCTGTCCCAGAGGTGGTCATCAGCCAGTGAGAATGAATTGGACCAATTTAACCCCGGTGACCTTACCTCTTTGACCTCTGTACAGGTCAGAGAATTCCTAGCTCTTCTGGTGGAGGAGGTAAGAAATTAATGGAAAAGGAAAGTAGCATGCTCTAGAGTGTTTCATTTCAGATATACTTCATTATATTTGCATATCTTTACTGTCCTTTCCCACTATCACCCCATATGAATTTATCTACATTTATTTTTCTAAAATCACAATTGCTCAGGCTATAATCACAATGGCGTTCATAAAGGGAAATCTATTCAAATATATAGTGTTCTGTACTTGTACTGTATATATGGGGAATATTCCCAAAAATATAAAAAAAAAAATGTAGGTTTTGCTGAAAAGGATTTCATTGCCTCAAGTTCGAATCTAAAAACTAGACTATGTATATGCCTACACATATTTTAGAATTCTTTAATAGCATAATATGGATTTGGCGATTTTTTTCAGCCACCATTATCACTTACCAAAGTGTTGAAGATGGAGGAACTGTATAATTTGAATGCTGTCAGGAATTCAGAAGTCAGATTTCGGTTTGTAATTACACATCCATGTAATTTTGAATATAAAATCTCGTAAAGATGTAGAAAAAAAGATGAATCCATGCAAAAAACAAAGATTCAGGATAAAAATTGTATAGTAATTTAAATGGATACTGTAGATTCCTTAATATATATACACATGTACATGAGAAATAACTTACTGCATAATGTGCAGCACTTGCAAAATAAAATTACTTGCTCATTATTTTCATGGTGCTTAAATGATCATGCAATTCTCTAGATTAACCATCCTCTCGCAAATTATATTTTTCATTTTTTGACGGCTAAGGTCCATTTCACGATATCAAATACTTGTGTAAAATGAGAAATCTACATTATTAAAAATTGTTCACACAAATATAGCCCTTCAGAAATTTAGAGAATGTTTTCTTCTGTAGCTGGCTGAGGTTGTGTATCAAGGCCCAGTGGAGAGATGCTATTCCTAGAGTGCTAGACTTTGTAAATGAACAAGGACGGATGAAATTTGTCAGACCTCTGTACAGGTGAGATGGATCAAAATTAAATTTAAAAATCATTTTCTTTTATATGTTAAACTTTCAAGAAATATGTCAGACATCTCCTTAAGTTGGATCAAAATTTTATTTAAAATCCAAAAAAAACATAGGTAATCAGAGATTACAGAGCTCACCTCAACGAATGTTGTCTTTAAGTAAAGCAAAGTCACACAATTAACCAACAAAATGTGTACATCCCAAAATGAAAATATTTATGCAATTTTGATCTGATACTTTGGAATAGAGCTATATAAAAACTTCGAACTAGTTCTTTTTCATGAAAATGTAATTAAAATACAGCATCTGAAGCAAATTTGAGAGTTTTCATCCCTTGATGCATCATTTGTGCAAGTTTGGTTTATACAATGTTATATAAGCCTTATAGTTTTTTGGTAATAGACCTGCACCCATAACTTTTACCTGGTCCATTATCTGAAAAATTTATGTCTAATTCAGCATCCGAAGCAAGTCCATTAATGTGTATCTTAAGATGTATCGTCCATGCAAGTTTGCTCATTATAGGGCTCATAGTTACTTGGAAATGAAATCTGCATCAAAAACTTTAACCTCTTCACTCAACCAGAAAATGTAGGTCAGATTCAGCATCCGAAGTAAGTCTGATAGTATACATCCTTAGATGTACCGCTCAAAGTATCTTGGAAATGAAAACTGCACCAAAAACTTTAACCTGTTCACTCAACTGGAAAATGTAGGTCAGATTCAGCATCCGAAGCAAGCCTGGTAATGTGCATCCTTAGATGTATCATCCATGCAAGTTTGGTCAATATAGGACTTATTGCTACTTGTAAATGAGACCTGCACCAAAAACATTCACCTGTTCACTCAACCGGAAAATGTAGGTCAGATTCAGCATCCGAATCAATCCCCATTAGTGTACATCCTTAGATGTATCATCCATGCAAGTTTGGTCAACATAGGGCTTATAGTTCCTTGGAAATTACACCAACACCAAAAACTGCACCAAAAATGTTAACCTGCTCCAAAAACCTTAACCTGGTCATTCCTTTGCTGAAATTGCAGCATCTGAAACTTTGACTGGTACAATGAAACACACTAGAAGCATCTTCCATGCATGTCTAATCAATATAGGACATAGAAGTACTTTAAAAGAAAACTGCTCCAAAAAACTTAACCTGGGACGCCGACACCGACGCCGACGGGGACGCCGAGGGTATTACATAAGCTCCCCCAACTTCGTTGAGGTGAGCTAAAAATGTGTTGTAAAAATTGTCAACATTTCCAGTTTTACTGTTCAAAATAAATACCCTTGAATCAGGAAATTTAGAATAGCTTTGAAGTGTGATTGGTTGTACATTCATGTAAGAGTGATTTACTTGAGCAATAATTTTACCTAGGGACCTGTATGGTTGGGAAGAAGCTAGACCAATAGCCATACAGAACTTCCAGACTCACAAAGGGGAGATGCACAACACAACAGCGACCATGCTGGCAAAGGATCTCAAACTTACTTAGACTGTGATGAGGACTTCATTTCTCAGCTGTTTGTGTATATTTTGGTTGTTTGACTGTCAGTGCTGCTTTAGTAGCTTACATATCAAGGACTTGCCACTTATACCTGTAAATTATTGATCAAGAATCTCTATTTGTTTTAAATGATTTTACAGAAAGTACAATCAAGAAATTGTACAGGAGTTACAATTAGAATTTTTGGAATAAAAAAGTGTTTGACCACAAATGAATGGGAGTGCAATTGATATTTGGGGGGGGGGGGGGGGGGAGGGGTACCCAACTAGTGACTACTCTAATTTTCTTTTGAATCAGGTGATGTCAGACAAGAGAAAATGTTATTTTTGGGGGTTAATTGATTTAATTTTTATGAATGAAAATAGTTTAAATACAATATTTGATAACATCTACGTATTTTATTCAGATTTGTCTCTGCAATTTTCATGTATTTGCATGAAATAAGGAACAAGAGTTAGCTGATGAAAATATTCTTTTACTATTTAATACATGACTGTATAAAGTATTCAAGAAAAAATATTGTTTCTAATTTTATTATTGCATGATAAGATTTTGTCATCATTAATATGGATCTGAATCATTGAATCAATCATGAAAAATATCAGAATAATCAGTTATAATACAGAATGAATGTAAAATGCAGCAGTTATTGTAGGCTTGTATTACATGTTTACGAAAAGGCAACGTAACTACCAGTAAATGAATGAAAATCATAAATTATTACATGAATAAAACATGTACATGTATTTGCTCTTATTCAAATGTCCTGCTTTGTGATACTCTTCATTGCAATGTTTGGTTAACAGGAGATTGGATCTAGATTAAAACATATCAGTATGGTAAAAACCAAATGAGATTTCAATTATTAAGTATGTATACATTCATGTTCACACATATTTATATTTATTACTTTCATTTTGATGGTGGCTATCTATTTCACTTCAAAAAGGCCATGCTGAAAATCGTAGTTTCAAGAAAATATGGCCACACATACAACATCACCTATTTTTATTTCAAGTAAAACCTTGAGAAGTGGATTCATAATTTCAAAAATCAGGAGTCATTTATGAGAATCAATGTAAAATTGAATAGTGCAGATTTCTAATCTAGGTTCAGTTTCTTTGTAATCAAACATGGCATTAAAGTAGAGGAATTGATTTGCAATTTCTTGTATGTCATTCCATCCTATTCCTGGTGACATCATACTGTGGCTTACCTAGTCACTTATTTAATTAAATTGTAAACCAAACCAGTATTACTTTAGTTAGTTTATGATGCAGCATTTTGCATCCAAAGAAATTGTATCAAAATACAATATTTATTATGCCCCCCTTTCCTTGATGAAGGGAGGGCATATTGCTTTGCTGCTGTCTGTCAATTGGTCTGTTGGTCCACTTAGTTTCCGTTCATTTTCTTCACAACCATTGCACATACTGAAATGAAATTTGGTATACAGATATATCAGATGAATACTAGGTCAAGTTCTGTTTTGGGTACGATCGTACCATTTTTGACAGAGTTATGCCCCTTGGACTTAGAAAAATTCCAATTATTTGCAGTTTCTGTTCATTTTCTTTGCAGTGGTTGCACTTACTGAAATGGAATTTAGTATATAGATTTATCAGATAAATATCTAGGTCACGTTGGGTACAATCAACCATTTTTGACAGACTTATACCCCTTCGACTAGAAAAATTTCAATTATTTGCATTTTGTCATCATAATATGGATCTGAATACTGCAAACCAACTTTTATTCACATGCTAGAAATTTTCGCGAAGTTCACGAGAGCCTCATAATATTTCTTGCCGCGAACAAGTTTTTAAAGTCTCTGTGTTTTTTAATGGTAGCGAACTAGTTTTACTCCAGTAAATCGTGAAATAAAGTTGTTGCAAATGAAAGTTGGTTTACAGTAATCAGTTATAATACAGAATGAATGTAAAATGCAGCAGTTATTGTAGGCTTGTATTACAGATTTACGAAAAGGCAAGGTAAGCTAAATGAATGAAAATCATAAATTATTGCATGGATGCTACATGTATTTGCTCTTACTCGAATGTTCTGCTTTGTGATACACTTCATTGCAATGTTTGGTTACCAGGAGATTGGATCTAGATTAAAATACATCAGTATGGTAAAAACCAAAGATTTCAATTACCGTTAAGTATGTATACTTTCATGTTCACATATTTATGTTTGTTACTTTCTGATGATGGTGGCTATCTATTTCACTTTAAAAAGGCCATGCTGAAAATCTAAGTTTCAAGAAAATATGGTCACACATACAACATCACCTATCTTTATTTCAAGTAAAACCTTGAGAAGTGGATTCATAATTGCAGAAATTAGGAGTCATTTTTGAGAATTAAAGTAAAATTGAATAGTGCAGATTTTATGCCCCTTGGACTTAGAAAAATTCCAATTATTTGCAGTTTCTGTTCATTTTCTTGCAGTGGTTGCACTTACTGAAATGGAATTTAGTATATAGATTTATCAGATAAATATCTAGGCCAAGTTGGGTACAATCACACCATTTTTGACAGAGTTATACCCCTTCGACTAGAAAAATTTCAATTATTTGCAGTTTCCATTCATTTTCTCAAATACAACAAGAGGCCCAGGGGCCACATCGCTCACCTGAGCAACTGACTAGGTAAAAGCAAAAATTAGTTCAGTATTGAAAAGTTTAAATATATTATAACAAGAGGCCCACGGGCCTTATAGGTCACCTGAGTATTTGTAACAACTTTCAAACACTTGAATTTGGATTAAACCAGAGGCCATGAAATTCACAATTCACAATTTTGAAAGAGGCACCATTGCTTATCATAATTATTAATTTAACATGCTTACTCTATTTACTTAATACCCAGAGGTAGATCAGAGTAACAAAGAGAAAATCCACTTCCACTTTATACCCAGTTGTGCACCTCACCCTAAAGGAACCACTGACCCAGGGGCCACATATTTCAAAATTTTGCAAATTTTAAAACAAAATGGTTGATTAATACCAAAGAGCAGATTTAAAAGCATTAATTTATTTTCAGACTATGTAGCCCCCCCCCCTCCTCTGACCTAGGGGGCATAAAATTCACAATTTTATAGGAGGCACTCTTGCTCATCATAACTATGTGCTTAGTTAGTTTATTTAATACCCAAAAGCAGAGAAGAAGATTTTCAAAGAATAAATGCATTTTCACTATATGATCAATAGAGCCCCCCCCCCAACATCAGAACCCTTAACCCTGGGGCCATAAATTCACAAATCTGGAAAAGGCAATCTTGCTCATCATAACTATGTGCTTAGTTAGTTTATTTAATACTCAGAAGCAGAGGAGAAGATTTTCAAAGAATTGCATTTTCACTTTGTAATCAATAGAGCCCTGCCCTAACACCAGAACCCCTGACCCTGGGGCCATAAAATTCACAATTTTGGAAAAGGCACTCTTGCTCATCATAACTATGTTATTAGTTAGTTTATTTAATACCCAGAAGCAGAGAAGAAGATTTTCAAAGAAATAATGCATTTTCACTATATAATTCATAGAGCCCCGCCCTAACACCAGAACCCCTGACCCTGGGGCCATAAAATTCACAAATCTGGAAGAGGCACTCTTGCTCATCATAACTATGTACTTAGTTAGTTTATTTAATACCCAGAAGCAGAGAAGAAGATTTTCAAAGAATAAATGCATTTTCACTATATAATTCATAGAGCCCCGCCCTAACACCAGAACCCCTGACCCTGGGGCCATAAAATTCACAAATCTGGAAGAGGCACTCTTGCTCATCATGAATATGTTCTTAGTTAGTTTATTTAATATCCAGGAGCAGAGAAGAAGATTTTCAAAGAATAAATGCATTTTCACTATATAATTCATAGAGCCCCGCCCTAACACCAGAACCCCTGACCCTGGGGCCATAGAATTCACAAATCTGGAAGAGGCACTCTTGCTCATCATAACTATGTAGTTAGTTAGTTTATTTAATACCCAGGAGCAGAGAACAAGATTTTCAAAGAATAAATGCATTTTCACTATATAATTCATAGAGCCCCGCCCTAACACCAGAACCCCTGACCCTGGGGCCATAAAATTCACAAATCTGGAAGAGGCACTCTTGCTCATCATAACTATGTACTTAGTTAGTTTATTTAATACCCAGGAGCAGAGAAGAAGATTTTCAAAGAAATAATGCATTTTCACTATATAATCTATATAGCCCCGCCCTAGCACTAGAACCCCTGACCCTGGGGCCATGAATTTCACAATTTTGGTAGAGGACTCAATGTTCATTACATTCATGTCAACAGTTTGCCTGCTTGATGTCCAGGAGTAAAGAAGAAGATTTTTAAAGATTGCACTAATTTTAGTGGTTTTGGCCCCACCCCTCAGGCCCCAGGGGGGTGGGGACCATGAAATTCACAATTTTTGTTCCCCTTCACCTATGGATGCTGTATACCAAATTTGGTTGAAATTGGTTCAGTGGTTTCAGAGAAGAAGCTGAAAATGTTGAAATGTTAACACACGACACACGACACACGACGGACGACGGACGACGGACGACGACGGACGAAAACGGATAGCAATAGGTCACCTGAGTTACTCAGGTGACCTAAAAATGGGTTCTGGGGAGGGGAGGGGGTATTTAAACAAATTAAATCTACACTTCCTTAGAATGCTTTTGTGACACATCATGGTTTTGTTGTTTATAAGATGAAAATTTTTATTGATATAGCCTTTGTATTCATTTGTCCTCTTTATGGCTCCTCTGTTCACCTGAATTTTGTGGCCACACCCTTGCCCTAGAGGTCATGATTTGAACAAAAATGAATCTTCCCTTTCAGAAGATGCTTCTGCATGGGTTTCATCTTTCATGGCTCAGTGAAGAGTTTCATCTTTCATGGCTCAGTGAATCTTGAGAAGAAAGATTTTTCCTATGTATTCCTATGTTGAACTTTGATCACCCATTGTAGCCCAACCCTACCCCCAGGGTCATGATTTGAAGAAAATTGAATCTACACTACCTGAGGATGATTCCACATGAGTTTTATCTTTCCTGACCCAGTGGTTCTAGAGAAGATTTTTAAAGTTTTTCCCTATGTTTTCCTATGTTAAACTTTGATACCCATTGTGGCCCCACCCTACTCCCGAGGGTCATGATTTGAACAAACTTGAATCTTCACTCGCCTACCTGAGGATGCTTCCACATGAGTTTCATCTTTCCTGGCCTAGAGGTTCTGAGATTGATTGATTGATTGTATATTGTTTAACGTCCCTCTCGAGAATTTTTCACTCATATGGAGACGTCACCGTATGCCGGTGAAGGGCTTCAAATTTTGACCTTTACTCGGCACTCAGGGCCATTGAGCAGTGAGGGATCTTTATCGTGCCAACGCCTGCCACTGACACAGGGCCTCGGTTTTTAAGGTCTCATCCGAAGGACCCGCAACTCTCACTTCAAAGTGCCGAGCGCATGGCGAAGGAACAGTTGCTACCCATTTTAACGACTAGGTCAGTCGCGGCCGAGATACAAACTCAAGACCTCCTGATCACGAAGCGAGCGCTCTACCGACGTAGCTACCATGAACGGTGAGGTTCTGGAGAAGAAGAGTTTTAAAGATTTTTCCTATGTATTCGTATGTTGAGCTTTGATACCCCATTGTTGCCCCGACCTACCCCAGGGGACATGATTTGAATAAACTTGAATCTTCGCTACCTGAGGATGATTCAAAATAAATTTCATCTTTTCTGGCCCAGTGGTTCTGGAGAAGAAGATTTTTAAAGATTTTTCCTATGTATTCCTATGTTGAACTTGGATACCCCATTGTGGCCCCACCCTACCCCCGGGGGCCATGATTTGAACAAACTTGAATCTACACTACCCGAGGATGACTTCACATGAGTTTATCTGTCCTGGCCCAGTGGTTCTGGAGAAGAAGATTTTTAAAAGACAACATTAATTTTTTACTTATTCATAATTATCTCCGCTTTGAAGAGGGGATGGCCCTTCATTTGAACAAACTTGAATACCCTTCACCAAAGGATACTTTGTGGCAAGTTTTGTTCAAATTGGTCCAGTGGTTCTTGAGAAGAAGATGAAAATGTGAAAAGTTAACGACGACAACGACAGACAACTGACAAATTTTGATCATGCAGAAAAGCTCACTTGAGCCTTCAGCTCAGGTCCCCTCAATAAGGGAAGTTGATGATAGAAACGTTCCTTTATAGAGTTTTAAAACATCTGCATCTGATTTACAATTTTACACCACTTCTCACTTTGCTTTCATGAGGAGAAGTTACAAATTTCTAATTAAAAATGGAGACAGGTAAAGGCAAGTAAATACATATAAACCCAGCTAAAGGTCTATTGAAACTACACTTTGAGCAGAATAAACACAGATCTATTACTCTCTCTCTCTCTCTCCCCATTCCCACTCTTCCCACTCCCACTTCCTCTCTCCTCACTCCCTCTCTCTCCACACTTCTTCTCTCCCCACTCCCTCTCTCCCCATTTCCTACCCATTCCCACTCCCTCTCCCACTTCCTCTCTCCCCACTCCCTCTCTTTCTCCCTCTCCCCCACTCCCTCTCTCTCCCCACTCCCATTCTACCCACTACCTCCCTCTCTCCCCACCCTCTCTCTCCCCATTTACACTTTTCCCTCTCCTCTCCACTTCCTCTCTTCCCACTCCCTCTCTCTCCCGACTCCCTCTCTCTCCCACTCCATCTCTCTTCACTCTTCCTCCCCCCACTCCCTGTCTCTCTCCCCATTCACACTTTCCCCACACCCTATCACTCTCTTTCCCTCTCTATGTACTCCTTATCACCTCTCCCCACTCCCCCTTTCTCCCCACTCCTTGTCTCTCCCCACTGTCTATCTCCCCATTTCCTCTCTCTCCCCACTCCCACTCTCTCCCTACACCCCCTTTCTCCCCACTTCCTCTCTCTCTCCCCTTCACTCCCACTCTCTCCCCACTCCCACTTTCCCCACACCCTATCACTCTACCCCCTCTCTCCCCACTCACCCTCTCTCCCCACTCTCTCCCTACTCCCTCTCTCCCCACTTCCTCTTTCCCCACTTCCTCTCTCTCACCTCATTCCCACTCTATCACTCTCTGCCCACTCCCTATAACTTCCCTCTCCCCCACTCCCTCTCTTCCCCACTCCCCCTCTCTCCCCATTCCTTCTCCCCCACTCCCACTCTCCCAACTCCCTCCCTCTCCCCATTTCTTCTCTTTCCCCCACTCCCTCTAGCTCCCTCTCTTCCCACTCTCTCTCCCCATCCCCTCTATCTCCCCACTCCTCCTCTTTTCCCATTCCCTCTCTCTCTCCCCATTCCCACCCTATCACTCTTTCCCTCTCTTCCCACTCCCTCTCTCTCCCCATTCCCTCTCCCTACTTCCTCTCTTTCCACTCCCTCTCTCTCTCTCCATTCCCTCTCCTCCCACTCCCTCTCTCTCTCCCCATTCCCTCTCCTCCCACTCCCTCTCTCTCTGCTTCATCTCTCTCCCACTCTCTCTCCCCACACCCTCTCTCTATCCCCATTCCCATCCTATCACTCTCTCACTCTTACTCCCCATTCCCTCTCTCCCCACTTCCTCTCTCCTCATATCCCCTCTCTCCCCACTCCCTCTCTCCCCCCATTCCTTCTCTCTCCCCACTTCCTCTCTCCTCACTTCTTCTCTTTCTCCATTCCCTCTCTCTGTCCCCACTTCCTCTCTCTCTCAACTTCCTTTCTCTCCCAACTTCCTTTCTCTCCACTCCTCTCTCCCCATTCCCTCTCTCTCCCAATCCCTCTCTCTCCCCACTTTCTCTCTCCTCACTTCTCCCAACTTCTCCTCTCTCTCCCAACTTCCTTTCTCTCCATGCCTCTCTCCCCATTCCCTCTCTCTCCCATTTCCTCTCTCTCTCCATTCCCTCTCTCTTCCCACCTACTCTCTCTCCCCATTCCCTCTCTCTCCCCACTCCCTCCCTCTCCCCATTCCATCTCTCCCCACTCCTCTCCCTACTCCCTCTTTCCCCATTCCCTCTCTCTCCCCATTCCCTTTCTCTCCAACTTCCTCTCTCTCCCCATTCCCTCTCTCTCTCCCCATTCCCTTTCTCCCCCATTCACTCTCTCCCCACTCCCTCTCTTCCCATTCCCTTTCTCTCCAACTTCCTCTCTCTCCCCATTCCATCTCTCTCTCCCCATTCCCTTTCTCCCCATTCCCTCTCCCCCACTCTCTCTCCCCATTCCCTCTCTCCCCCACTCCTTCTCTCCCCACTTCCTCTCTTCCACTCTCTCTCTCCCTCACTTCTTCTCTCTCCCCACTTGCTCTCTCTCCCCATTCCCTCTCTCTCCCAATCTCTCTCTCCTCACTTCCCCTCTCTTTCCCCATTCCCTCTCTCTCTCCACTTCCTCTCTCCCCACTCTCTCTCCCTACTCCCTCTCTCTCTCTCTATTCCCTCTCTCTCCCCACTTGCTCTCTCTCCCCATTCCCTCTCTCCCCCACTCCTTCTCTCCCCACTTCCTCTCTCCCCACTTGCTCTCTCTCTCCCCATTCCTTCTCTCCCCACTTCCTCTCTCTTCCCACTTCCTCTCTCCCACTCTCTCTCCCCACTTCCTCTCTCCTCACTTCCCCTCTCTTTCCCAATTCCCTCTCTCTCTCCCCACTTCCTCTCTCTCCACTCACTCTCTCTCCCCACTTTCTCTCTCTCCACTCCCCCTCTCCCCATTCCCTCTCTCTCCCCACTGGCTCTCTCTCCCCATTCCCTCACTTTTTCTCTCCCCACTTGCTCTCTCTCCCCACTCCTTTTCTCCCTATTCCCTCTCTCTCCCCACTCACTCTCTCTCTCCCCATTCCCTCTCTCCCACTCTCTCTCCCCAGTTCCTCTCTCTTACTCTCTCCCCCACTCCTTCTCTCCCACTCTCTCTCCCCACTTCCTCTCTCCTACTCTCTCTCCCCCACTTCCTCTCCCCCATTCCCTCTCTCCCCCCACTACCTCTCCCCCACTTCCTCTCTTCCCCCACTTTCTCTCTCTCCCTACTTCCTCTCTCCCACTCTCTCTCCCCACTTCCTCTCTCTCCCCGTTTCCTCCGCTTTCTCTCTCTCCCCACTTCCTCTGCTTTCTCTCTCTCCCTACTTCCTCTCTCCCACTATCTCTCCCCTCTCTCTCTCTCTCTCCCACTTCTTCTCTCTCCCCCACTTCCTCTCTCTCCCTATTTCCTTTCTCCCCCACTTCCTCTCCCCCACTCTCTCTCCCCCACTCCTTCTCTCCCCACTTCCTCTCTTCCACTCTCTCTCTCCCTCACTTCTTCTCTCTCCCCACTTGCTCTCTCTCCCCATTCCCTCTCTCTCCCAATCTCTCTCTCCTCACTTCCCCTCTCTCTTCCCCATTCCCTCTCTCTCTCCACTTCCTCTCTACCCTCTCTCTCTCCCTACTCCCTCTCTCTCTCTCTATTCCCTCTCTCTCCCCACTTGCTCTCTCTCCCCATTCCCTCTCTCCCCCACTCCTTCTCTCCCCACTTCCTCTCTCCCCACTCGCTCTCTCTCTCCCCATTCCTTCTCTCCCCACTTCCTCTCTCTTCCCACTTCCTCTCTCCCACTCTCTCTCCCCACTTCCTCTCTCCTCACTTCCCCTCTCTTTCCCAATTCCCTCTCTCTCTCCCCACTTCCTCTCTCTCCTCTCCCTCTCTCTCTCCACTCACTCTCTCTCCCCACTTTCTCTCTCTCCACTCCCCCTCTCCCCATTCCCTCTCTCTCCCCACTGGCTCTCTCTCCCCATTCCCTCACTTTTTCTCTCCCCACTTGCTCTCTCTCCCCACTCCTTTTCTCCCTATTCCCTCTCTCTCCCCACTCACTCTCTCTCTCCCCATTCCCTCTCTCCCACTCTCACTCCCCAGTTCCTCTCTCTTACTCTCTCCCCCCACTCCTTCTCTCCCACTCTCTCTCCCCACTTCCTCTCTCCTACTCTCTCTCCCCCACTTCCTCTCCCCCAGTCCCTCTCTCCCCCCACTACCTCTCCCCCACTTCCTCTCTTCCCCCACTTTCTCTCTCTCCCTACTTCCTCTCTCCCCACTCTCTCTCCCCACTTCCTCTCTCTCTCCCCACTCCTCCTCTCCTTTCTCTCTCCCCACTTCCTCTGCTTTCTCTCTCTCCCTACTTCCTCTCTCCCACTATCTCTCCCTCTCTCTCTCTCTCTCTCTCCACTTCTTCTCTCTCCCCACTTCCTCTCTCTCCCTATTTCCTTTCTCCCCCACTTCCTCTCCCCCACTCTCTCTCCCCCACTCCTTCTCTCCCCACTTCCTCTCTTCCACTCTCTCTCTCCCTCACTTCTTCTCTCTCCCCACTTGCTCTCTCTCCCCATTCCCTCTCTCTCCCAATCTCTCTCTCCTCACTTCCCCTCTCTTTCCCCATTCCCTCTCTCTCTCCACTTCCTCTCTCCCCACTCTCTCTCCCTACTCCCTCTCTCTCTCTATTCCCTCTCTCTCCCCACTTGCTCTCTCTCCCCATTCCCTCTCTTCCCACTCCTTTTCTCCCCATTTCCTCTCTCTCTCCACTCCCCCACTTCCTCTCCCCCACTCCCTCCCCACTTCCTTTCTCTCCCCCAGTTCCTCTCTCTCCCTACTTCCACTCTCCCACTCTCTCTCCCCATTTCCTCTTTCCCCCCACTTCCTCCACTTCCACTCTCCCCCACTTCCTCTCTCCCACTATCACTCCCCTCTCTCTCTCTCTCCCCCACTCTCCCCCACTTCCTCTCTCTCCCCACTTCCTCTCTCCCCCACTTTTCCTCTCTCCCTACTCCTCTCACTCCCCACTCCCTCTCTCACTTTTTTCCACACTCCCTCTTATCTAAAATAAGATTAATAAAAAAACACTATCCAAAAATTATTATGAAATATTTTATTCTTTCTGTTTTACTTTGATTTTTTTTAACTTTTTTCAAAATTGTATTATATTTGCAAAAAAAATTATGATTATGTATTTTAGAATGAAAAGGGGAATAAACTTAAAACATCACAAAATTCCCAGTTTCCCAGTTTGCAATTTGCTCAGAGCATTATATGCTCATGCATTTTAATATTACATTCATGTTTGAATAACATTTATATGCTTACTTGTATGCAAGTTCGTTAAATGGCTTTGTTATCTTTGAGAAATCTTTGGTGAAGCAGTGATAATAGCTATGAACTTCATCTGTCTTAGTTGGTGTGAGCCAGTTCAGGACTTTATCCATCTTATCTAGATCTTGTTCTACCCCGTCTTTCAAAACCACATTCTATCTATTTCACTGTCTTTGAAAACAACACACTTCTTATGTGAAAATTTTAACTTCTTTTCCCTGAGGTACTGGAATACCTTATGTTGAGATGTAAATTCTCTAAACAATCCTCATTATTCTTTGACATGTTGCTGGGCATTGGCCAATCCAGATGGAATCCTACTGTTTCCACACCATTGACATTAATCTGTAATTCTCCCATAAGTTTCACTTCATCCATTTCAGATGTGTGCTTGTCTCCATGTATTGCACTCATCATATTTGAAACCTTGATTCCTTTAACTTAATATGCTTATTTTTGATGATCATGATCCTCTACAATAGCTCATAGTTCTGATCTCACTTCACCCAAGGATATCTCATGCGCATCTGTCTCTGTGTCTGACGCTAATGAGGCCAAATATTCATGAAAATATTGTGCGGCTGCCTTTGTGTTTGACGTCAGTGGGCGAGGACTATTAAAATTGGGATGGGAATCCTCTTGTAATTTAAATCTATGTCTACATTTTTAAAGTTTAAATCTATAAATTTATTTCACAATGAAATGGAAATATAAGGATCAATCACTGTCTAGTTAGTATAGTATTCCAGGGACATCAATGATCATAGTAGGAAACATGGGATAATTTTAGCATAACGGGCACAAAAATAGGAGCAGAGCAAACATGGACCTCTAAAACATCAGAGGTGGGATCAGGTGCCATGGAGGAGTGAGCATCCCCTGCTGACCAGTCACAATGCCATGTGCTCCATTTCATGATCAAGAAATAACAGAAAATCCATCATCATTTCAGTGTAAAAACAATTGACGATAACAATAAGATGTCAAAAAAGCAACAAAATATCAATAAAATCAACTGAGATATATAAACTCTGTATGCGAGTGATGAAGGTATATTGCTGCATAAGTAAGGGAACTTGACGATAGAAAAGTTAAATTCATCACGTTCATTCATAGAGCTTGGTTGTTAGATTACAATTTATGTCTTTTTCAAGTAAAATAATCCAAGTATGAAACAGCTGTATTGGACTCAAGCAATGTCACGTGCCCCAGAAATCTTGTGAGATTTAGAGCTTTCTCGACTCCCCTGCAAAAGATCGGTAGTAAGTTAGATAAATGTGAGGTACTCGCGATATTACGTATTTTGATGATCTGGAGAATGTTGAAATTTTTGGTTATCCTATGTAGTGATTTATAACATCAGTTTGAAGTTCAGATTCAGTTTTCACTGTTGGTATTTTAGGTAATGGTCCAGTACATGTACTAGCAAATCTTTGTGGTCATGTTTGAAGATCTTGAGGTGTATCTGCCTTTGGTTTCAACGTCAAGGCTTTAGAAGAATTAATTGATGATGTCCTTGGCTTCTTCTGAAATATGATCTCCCGGCCATTATGGACTTTTCCAGAATTTGAGTTTTCAATGAAGTAAATCACTTCAATAGTTCACTCACATCGATGTATCACTTGAATTGAACTCAAGATATTTCACTGATTTCAGAATTTCACTTTTCACATCCCAAAATGTATCACTTTGATTAACATCACAAATATCATATATACATGTATGATTTGAACAGACTTGAAACTTGAAAATGAAAAAAAAATATTTATATCTATAATTAGATGCTTTAAACTTAAAATTTTGCTGTAAATGAATGCATCAAATGAATATCTTTAAGCTGTATAGATATATAATTTTTTTTTAATTAAACAAGAGGCCCATGGGCCACATTGCTCACCAGAGTAGCTTTGACCATGTTGTTCTTTACCAGATTTCCCCCTTGTAATAAATTAAATAAATTTGATTCCAAATCATGGTTCTGTCCAACCCCCAGGGGTCATGAATTCAACAATTTAGAATCTACACTACCCCAGGATGCTTTCACATAAGTTTTAGTTTTTCTGTCCCAGTCCTTCTTGAGAAGAAGAATTTAACAATTTTCCTTAATATTTCTATGTAAAACTTGGCTTCCCTATTGTGGCCCCGCCCTACCCCTAGGGGTCATGATTTGAACAATTTAGAATCTACACTACCCCAGGATGCTTCCACTTAAGTTTCAGTTTTTCTGGCCCAGTGGTTCTTGAGGAGAAGATTTTTAGAGAATTTTCTTAATCTTTATATGTAAAATTTTGATTCCCTATTGTGGTCTCACCCTACCCCTGGGGGTCATGATTGGAACAATTTAGAATCTAGAGTACCAAAGGATGCTTCCACATAAGTTTCAGCTTTCCTGGCCCAGTGGTTCTTGAGAAGAAGATTTTGAAAAAAAAAATTCAATTTATTTCTACGTAAAACTCTGATGATGTGAACAATTTAGAATCTAGACTATCCTAGGATGCTTCCACATAAGTTTCAGCTTTTCTGGCCTAGTGATTCTTGAGAAGAAGATTTTTAAAGTTTTTTCTTTATATTTCTATGTTAAACTTTGATTCCCTATTGTGGCCCCGCCCAACCCCCGGGGGTCATGCATGTGAACAATTTAGAATCTAGACTATCCTAGGATGCTTCAACATAAGTTTCAGCTTTTCTGGCCCAGTGGTTCTTGAGAAGAAGATTTTTTCAAGACCCCATCCTATTTTTGTCTTTTCTTAATTATCTCGTCTTGGGAGGAGAACTGACCCTTCATTTTTACAATTTAAACTCCCCTTTTCCAAAGGATGCTTTGTATCAAGTTTGGTTAAAATTGACCCAGTGGTTCTTGAGAAGAAGTCGAAAATGTGAGAAGTTTACAGATGAACAGACATACGAGGGACTAAATGTTATTAGAAAAGCTCACTTGAGTCTTCGGCTCAGATGAGCTAAAAATATTTATGAAAATAAAACACATTATTTGTGAATATTTTTTAAAGTTGTGGTTAAAATCTTCACAAAACCTGGAGTCACAGCTTAGGATAACATGTTAGTTATCATATTTATCAAAGAAATTAAAATGAAATTGCCAAATTTTAGAAAAATTAATTTTTTTTAAT